TCTAGCCGTCCTCGCGGGTGTCCCGTGGGCTCTCCGGGCTCCGTGTGGTTTCGGTTTGCATTTCCCTGTGATAATGAGGTTGAGCATCTTCTCACGTGCTCTTTGACCGTCCTGTGTGTCTTTGGAGAAACGTCTGTTCCAGTCCTTCTGCCTGTTTTAAATTTGGTGGTCTGTCTTTTTATTTATGTAGAGTTCCTTATGTGCACTGGGCACTACAGCCGTATCAGGCGTATGATTCGTAATTTTTTTCTCCCCTCCGGTGGGTTGTCTCTTCACTTTCCTGATATTTTCCTTTTCAGCACAAAAGATTTTAAATTTGCTGAAGTTAATGAATTTGTGTGCGTGTGTGGGGTGTTGCTGCTCACGCCTTTGTCATCATACCCAAGAAACCCGTCGGACCCAAGGTCACAAAAACCTGTTCCTTTGGGATGTGTTTTGGGTGGGTTTTGAATTACAGGAGAGCTTCTGATTCGTGGAAGGAAGAAGGTCTAGGTCTAGGCTGAGGGTAGCAGTGAGGGGAGGCTGGGGAGGCCACAGGAGTCGGCATGCCTAGTTGGGCTCTGGAGGAGGCTGGGCGGGCACAGGAGTGTGGCCATCATTTCTTGGGCACCAGCTGGGAAGACGCGTTCTGGACGGCAGGACAGGGCAAGGAGGCGGTGAGAGGAATCTTAGGAAGAGTTTGGGAGGAAAAATGCAGAAGTCAGGAATGAGGTAATAGGAGCCTGGATTAAAATGGTGGAAGAGGGCGGAGCGGGGGGTGCAGCCCCACCTCCAGCCAGGTGCAGAGGCAGCCCCTGGATTGGCGATAGGCGGAGGGACCCAGCTCCCAGGCTGCCAGCCTGAACAGGAAGACCACAGCTGGGGCCTGGGAGGGGCGGTCGGGGCTTCCTGTGGTGTTGGAGCTCTGGACTGGTTAAGATTCCTCCATCCCAGGGGCCGCCTGGGTGGCTCAGTGGGTTAAGCCTCTGTCTTCAGCTCAGGTCATGATCTCAGGGTCCTGGGATCGAGCCCCGCATCGGGCTCTCTGCTCAGCAAGGAGCCTGCTTCCCTTCCTCCTCTCTCTGCCTGCCTCTCTGTCTGCTTGTGATCTCTGTCAAATAAATAAATAAAAAATCTTAAAAAAAAAAAAAAAGATTCCTCCATCCTGGTCCCCATTGGGGTGGGGACTCCAGGACTTCCCTGCACGTTGTGAACTGATAGCCCAGCTTCTGGGGCTCGTTCCTCCCTCCCATAGTTGTGGTGGGTGATGGGAATTCACAGCTCGTGGGGGCAGGGCGCCTCAGGGTCCTGGGGTAACAGCATGAGCTCGTACATCCCGAGCCCTTGTTCCTGCACAAGAGTGCTCCTTCGTGATGAGCAGACCACCCAGGGTGGTGTTCGTTTCCTGCGCTTGGTATTTGATCCGGCGGCCATGCCCCCAACCCCGAGCCCCCACCGAGGCGGCTGATGTGGGGCCGCCCGCGAGGCTGTCACATTTGTGACCCTGAGCAGAGGCCACGTGTGCATTCAGGGCCTGGGGGAGGGGCTGTGACCGGGCACCGGGTGGGGGTCCTGGGACTGTCTCCAGGCCTTCATGTGGAGTGCCGCCTTGCCTGGAAGGGTCGGCTTCCTGCAAGGTGGCCATTCCACAGGGGCCGGGAGCACCGTAACCCCAGGAGCGGCCTGGCCCCGAGGAGCTGGAGACACTGGCAGGACCTTTCCAGGCTGTCTCGCTCCAGGCCTGGCTGCTCCCACCCAGGTCTGCTGCGAAGGCTCCAGCCCAACCCCCTGACGGACCCCGCTGCCAGGTCTAGAACCATCGCTGGGGCTTGTTAGGTTTTATTTGTGTTTGAGGGAGGTGTCTCCATCTCCTGCTAAAATGTGGGTGCCTCCGGCAGACTGTGTCTTGCGCTATTAATTCTGTAAGACAGAACTAGACTCCTCTGCTGGGCCTGCTGCTTACTTCCCTCCTTGTCCTCGCGGCCTTTTGTAGAAACCTTGGTTGCTCTCGGAGCTCCTCCTTGAAATGCTTGCTGTGTGGGTGTGGGCTTTCTTTGGAAGAGCACAGGGGTGAGCGTGGGAGCTGTGAGCAGCCCCTCCCGGGCAGGCGGACCCCTCCACGGGGCATTCCGGCGGGTTGTCTCAGCCTGGCAGGCCAGGTGCCTGCAGCCTGTAGGGGGCCCCGGCCAGGTCCCCTGGTCGAGCAGCTTCCCTCCCTCCACTCGTCGCTCTGCTGTGTCCTTCTCTGCGGCCCCCACCAGCGCCGAGCGTGCAAGTAGCCCCGCTCCTGCCTCTGCTCCCCACTGTCCAGCCCCCAGGGGGCCCTTCTGCCGCGCGCCGAGTTCCCCTGCTGCTGCCCCAGACCAGGAGGTCCGGACCGAGCTGGAGGCACAGCCTTGGCAAGTGCAGGGTTTTTGGTCACCGCAGGCAGTGGATCCTGGGGGGACATCACAGCAACAATCACCGTCCCTCTGCCGCATCCGGGGCAGACCAGGCCAGCTATCCCCAGGGGCCAGTCTGGGGTGGCCAGTGGTGGAACGCATATGTTGTTCAGGGCCGTGGGGGCAAGCCCAACCCTCCCCTCAAGGAGCACAGAGAGCCTGGACAGGAAGCGCCCAGCAGCTGGGGGGACTCGACCAGGCAGCAGGAGGAAACCCCGGGAATGATGGACGTGGGTGATGCTGGTCTCCCTTCGGACCTGCCAGCCTGGAGCTCAGCACCGTGCCCGGGGTGGAGCAGGATGTGCTCCCAGCACAGCCCCTGCTGCTCCGTATGTGGGGAAGCGTGAGCTCGGCCCCCGCTGCTCTATGTGTGGGGAAGCGTGAGCTCGGGCCGCGGCTGTCGGTGTTCGCCTTGCCCTTCCTCCGCGGACCCTAGGCAGGCCCTAGGCCCGGAGTCTCGGTCTTCAGAGCTGGTGGCAGCCCATGTGCCGCTTGATGACGACTGTGCCTGTTGCAGCAGAAACCCGACGTTCCCACAGGGTTTGATGAGACTCGGAGTCTCGTTATGTAACACTGACCGTGCCCAGGACACACAGCGGAGGGAGCGTCAACACCAGCTCCGCAGCTCAGAGGAGGAGCCCGCCAGCCGACGACGCAGCACCAGCGAGGGCACCCGGGCCTGGGAACGGTCCCTGGGAAACTGGTCCAGGGAGGAGAGGAAACACGCTCGAAATGAATGGAAAATGGGACATCTCAGTGAAGACGTGGAAGCTATAAAATTAAAAGAACGAAACAGAACATTTTAAATTAAAAAACACAGTAACCCAGATAAAAATATATTCCGTGAGTTCAGTAGTGGAATGCAGATGGCCTGGGAATGAGCCCGTGAACTTGAAGACGGATCAATAAAAATACGTTCTTAACAGCAGAGAAAAACCAGGGGAAAAATAGCTTCAGGGAAAGTACCAGAAAATCTAACATTGATGTCGTCTGAGTTTGGAGGAGAGAAGGGGTGTGGAGCAGACAAAATGTTGACAGAATGTCTGAAAACTCTCCAGCTTTGATGTCAGATAAACTTACAGATTTGAGAAGTTCCTCAGATCCCAATCATGGACCCTGTCACGGTCGGCCAAAAGCCGAAGTCAGATGTTGAAAGCAACTAGGAAAAGAGGGTCTGTCGTACACAGTGTGGATTTTAAAAATGCAGAACTAGTTACCAGCTCCCTCACAACAAAGCCTTAGAATACCATGTGAGCCAGAATCACAGGCCAAAGGGGACACATCTGGGGGCCTTTCCGGTCGTGGAGCGCCCGTCCGCGGAGAGGCTGCAGGGGCCCGCCAGGCCGCGGGCCGTTTTCCCTGTGACCATCCCGAGAAGCCTCAGGCAGCCTGTGTGCGGCAGGTCGGGAGGCCTCTCCGTCCCCGTCTGCGCCCTGCCGGCCGCGGCAGAGGAGGGGACGCAGAGCTACGTCCTCAGGCGGGGAGTTCCGGACACGGGGGTCCTCACCCTGGTTTTAGAAATGAGAACCAGTCTGGGGCTCAGAGGACTGTGTCCATCCGCAAGCTCAGTGCCTGGGTGCGTGGCCCTTGGTCTGGTGCTGGCGGCTCTGGCGGCAGACGGCTCCCCGTCTGCTTGGGGATCCCCATGCCCCTTCCTTCGTCTTCACGCCCCTTCCTTCGTCTTCACGCCCCTTCCTGGAAGCAATTCTGCTCACACTCTGGTCTGGCTCTCAGCTGGGAGAGGTTCAGGCCGCTGGTGGAAACGGGTCTGATTTAAATTTACTGGTAAGTTACCGGAAAACACAATAGTGCTTGTGCCTGTGCCTTGGGAAGCCCGGGCGTTCAAAGCTGTCGGGGGAGACGTGGGTGGGGGACGGGGTGGGGGGGACGTGGCAGTGACAGGTGCTCCCTCGTCACCCACTGAGGGCTGAGGGTCCCTGCCTCCCTGTGGACTGATCTGAAACATTGGAAGGGGGGTTGGCGTCGGCGACCAGAGGTGGGATCACCCTCCAATTACCTTTTGAGGGAGGGGGTCTGGCCAGGCAGGGGTTCCCATGACCAGGGGTTCGCTTTGCTGCTGCTTGTGGCCTCCAGTTTCATCCTCAGCACGCCTGGGTGCAGATGGGGTCTGCCCGGCCAGGAAGAAGAAGCTCCTGGCAACAGGGCCTCCCCTCCTGGGCAAGGCTCCCATGGCCAGCCCGGCCCAGCCTGCCCATCCCCATGGCCAAGTGCTGTTCTCCTGCAGTCCCCACCTGCCTGGGGGTCCCTGGGATGCTGTGTGGGAAGGGGTAGTCTCCCCTCTCCCGTCTGAGGCCACAGCACGCCTCCTGAGGGTCATAGCTTGCACACCTGCCGTCAGGAGGGACAGAACGCTCATGGGCCACGGTGTCTGCTTCCCTGCCCGGCAGCCGCAGGGCCTGCCTGTCCCTACGGCTGTGCATGCCGTGGCCTCGTGGTGAGGACAGGAGGGGCGGGGGGGACAGGCGGGGGGGGACAGGGGGGGGGGCAGGGGGGGGGGGGCAGGTGGGGGGACAGGCGGGGGCCTGGGAGGCCGCTGACTGCTGGCTTGTGTCTCCACAGCATCAAGATGGTGCTCATGTGGACCAGCGGTGACACCTTCAAGACGGCCTACTTCCTGCTCAACGGCGCCCCCCTGCAGTTCTCCGTGTGCGGCCTGCTGCAGGTGCTGGTGGACCTGGCCATCCTGGGACAGGCCTACGCCTTCGCCCGCCACCCCCAGAAGCCAGCCCCCCACGTGGCACACCCTGCCAGCGCCAAGGCCCTCTGAGGTGGCAGGGGAGGACACGGACGTGTGGCCTCCGCCGTGGGCACTGGCCCAGTCACCTGTCATCCCTGTGTGGGGCAGGTGGGCACCATGGCCCAAGGGGATGTCTGGGCCATCGGGATCTCGATCAGCTCTGTGGGTCTCAGGTGCACTGCCAGGGGACCTGGGTGCCAACATTGATCCTCCGCCCTGAGGATGAGTGTGAGTGGGCACTAGACCCCAGGGCTGGGCTGAGGCTGTTTTCCAGGTGATGGAGAAGCAAGTGTTCTCTTCTTTCCTCCCAAAAAACACTTGTCTGGAACTTGGAATGTGCTCACAGACCCAGGAAATGGCAGACTTCGGGCTGCTATGGGACAGGGCGCCAGGAAGCCCCTCTGGGACTCAGGCCTGCCGGGAGCCCCTGGGGCCTGCGGCCGGACTCTCGGCAACCCTCGGCCTGGGCGGCTTGGGGAGCAGGAGTGAGCAGTGGCACCAGGAGAACCCGCGCACCCGGCGCACAGAGCCTGGTCTCAGAATGGCCCAAACGTGGACATCCTGGTGACAGCATGCGCGCGAGGGTGACTCAGAGCAGAGCCTGGGCACAGAGAGTGGGCCTGGGGTTTGAACACAGCTGATGCTTGTGGGAAGGAAGCTGTGGGGACGCACGTTACAAGTGCTCTTGGTGACCTGCTGGAGTCGGCCCCGTGAGGGCCACCTTCAGTGCGGCCGTGTCACGGGACTAGGGACTTGGCCCTCAGCTTGGCAGTGGGGCCCAGAGTGTTCCGTGTGCCCACGTGCCTCATTTCTGCATTGGCTGCCTCCTGGGAGATGCCCGTGTGGACGCCGCTGGCAGGGAGGGGACGAGCCTGTGTCCATGCCGGCTGGACGCTGCCAGAGTGAGCTCAGGGGTGTTGGCACCAGAGCCTGGAGTTCCCCATGAGTCCTGAGGGGATGTGGGGGGCACAAGTGGCCCGTGTGTGCCCCTAGGGAAGCTGGGGGCCTGGGACCAGGTCTGGGGGACGCACCCTCCGCCGAGGACAGGCGTACTTACGGGCGTTCCCTCTGGGTTCCAGGAATTGCACGTGCCTGCAGCCTGCCGCCCTGGACGTCTGTGTTCCAGGACGGTGATGGCCTGTGAGTCAGGCGAGGGGATGTGTGATGCAGGTGTCCCCACGCTCCTCGGGCGTGGGGTGACGTGCCCGGGCGGGGCGTCCCTGGCCACCTGCTTTTTCCCCTCTCAGTTTTACAGGAGCATCTCTGCTGTGCCCAGCAGCCCTGGGCGAGCTCCCAGGCCCCGGCGCCTGAGTGTCCCAGCAGCCGTGGGGCTTCCCCTCTGCGGGGCGGAGGGCCGGCCCTGGGGCGGGTGTGCGGGGGCGGTGCCACTGTCCTGCTGCTCCAGCTGCTGCCTCCTCCGGAGCTTTGCTCACAAATGCCTGAATGTTTGAGTGAGGATCCTGCTTAGGCACTTGGGCTATAAGACGCTTTGGAAATGTTTATTTTTAAACACAGGGGGTGTCAGTAGCCGTAATTTCCTCCAGATTAAAGTGTCTCCCTCTGCCTGCGGCCGTGGCGGCATGTGCCCAGCGAGGGGAGCACTCGGGGTTGTCCGCGCTCTGACTTTACCCCAATAAACCGCTTGTGGATCTGTGTGGCCTCGTGAATGGAGTCCGAGCGGGCGCCCCAGGACACAGTGAATCATGGGTCCCCATCCTCCCTTCACCGTATGGGTCTTCAGGGAAGGGTGGGTGCCCTCTTCTTGGGGTCCAGCTCTGCCCCTGTGAGGCCCAGGCTGCTGTCTTGGTCCCCCCACACGGACATGCCAGCCCCCCAGACAGACCAGTTCACTAGGAAAGACCAGTCCCCTGGACAGAGCAGTCCTCCCAGACAGACCAGGCCAGCCCCTCCGCACAGACCGGTGCCCCGGGACAGACCAGCGCCCCCGCCCCCTCAGATCAGCCCCCAGAGGCCGACCAGCTCCCCGGACAGACCAGCAGGACCAGGCCAGGGGAGGCCCTGACCACCGAATGCCTTGAAAAGGTAAGAGGTGTTTTGTTTAAAGAAAGGCCAAGGGAAGTGTTTGAAGAAAAGTGGACACTTCTGTCCAGCCTGTAGGGACGGAGCTGTGTGTACCGACCAGTTCTTTTTTCTTGGAGACAATTTACATTTGGGGACAAGGTGTCAGAAATATCAAAGAGATACGGTGAAAGTACATGAAAGTGATATTCTGAATTTTTGGATGGCCCCACCAGCCCCCTCCCGCACTGGCCCCGAGGTCCAAGAGTGAGTCTGGCCCGGAGCTGCTCCGTGTGGGTGACACCCACGCGGTCTCTCCGGCAGCCGGCATCCCCGTCTGGACCCTTGTCTTGCTCTGGGGGTGGATTTTTACTTTCTTTCTGATAATCAGTTTGTTAAAATTAACTGCTAATTCTGCATGCAGTAGAAATCCCGACAGCGAAATGAACAGTGAAACATGTAGAGGCCTCTTTCTCCGTGAGCCCATCTCAGTTCTTGAAAAGTCACCTGTAGCCTCTTTCTTTGGTTCCACTCACAGCCGCCAGGTGTGTGGGAAGGAGCTGGGGCCCCGTCGTCACACCGGCCGGCGGGGCACAGGCTCCCGAGCCCCACGAGAAGTGGGGCTCTAATCAGAGTAGATGAAGGTCCCTTTCCGCAGGCTTAGACCTCTGATAAAGCTGTATGGCTTTTCCCCTCAGCAGGATAGTGGCGCGACTGCCCTGGCTGCTGGTGTGAGTGACATGGTGCGGCTCCCTGCGCTGAGCCTCTGAGAACTTGGAGACAACGGAAGGTTGTCAGTGAAGCCGGCCCACCTCCAGCTGGGCAAGAAGAAACTGTGTGCATGTGTGCGTGCGTGTGTGTGCGAGTGTCGCAGTGGGACGCCCACGGTGGATGACCCTGCAGAAGCAGGAGCCCCCCCCAGACTGCCCACCGCGGACAGCTCCTCCAGGAGCTGCCCTGCCAAGGAGCAGGGAAGCAGAGGGTGCGGCCTGCAGACACAGGTGGCCTCCGGCATTTGCCACGGCCTTGGAATTTCTGGGCCAGGGAATCTGAACTCCAAAGGGAAGGAGGAGGAAAGAGGGAAGGAATGACCGGAAACAGAGGATCAGTACCCCCGCCCCCCCCCCCCCCCAGCCAGGGGGGCCCCGGCGGAAGGGACATGCCGCGGGTACGGGGGGGGGCACAGGCCCCCCCCCCCCCCGGGGGCCCCCGGGGGGGGGGGGGGGGGGGGGGGGCGCTTCTATTCCTGAGAAAGCTCAGGAGGAGCGGTCTCTTGGGGGCCACAGTCGCGGCCACCCCCCCGCGCGGGGACCCCCGGTGTGGGCGGCTGCGGCGGGCCCCTACTGGCTGTCCTCGGTGGCCGGGGCCGAGCGCGCGCTGTCCTCGCGCAGGGCCGGCTCGGGGCTGGTGGCGCGCCGCCGCTGCTGCTCCTTGAGCTCGGAGTAGGAGCGCGAGAAGGTGTGGAAGATGGACGTGACCGGGAAGGCCACGAGCAGGACGCCGCTGAGGATGCTGCCGAGCGCCACCACCTGCCCGGGCAGGCTGCGCGGCACCATGTCGCCGTAGCCCACGGTGGTCATGGAGATGACGGCCCACCAGTAGCAGGCGGGCACGCTGGAGAAGTCGCGGCGCGCGCCCAGCTCGCGCTCGGCCAGGTGCACCAGCGGGGCGAAGAGCGCGGTGGCCACGCAGAGGAAGAGCAGCAGGAGCCCGAACTCGCGCGCGCAGCGGCGCACGGTCAGGCCGAGCGAGCGCAGCCCCAGCGAGTGGCGCGCCAGGCGCATCACGTAGAGGACGCGCAGCGCCCGCAGCAGCCGCAGCGCCAGCCCCGCGCGCTCCAGCAGCGCCGCGCCCCCCGCGCCCGCGCCCGCGCCCGCGCTCCCCGCCGCCAGCCCCGCGAGCAGCGACACGTAGAAGGGCAGGATGGCCAGGATGTCGATGACGTTGAGCGGCGTCCGCAGGAAGGCGCACTTGCTCTCGGCGCGCAGCGAGCGCAGCAGGAACTCGAAGGAGAACCAGGCCACGCACACCGTCTCCAGCACGAAGAGGCTGCGGCACTTGGGGGAGCACTCGCCCTGCGGAGGAGAGGGGTGGGGTGCGGTCACGCCCGCGCTGCCCTTCCCCCACGCACCCCATCCTCCTCCCCCATGCGCGCCTGCAGGGGGCCCGGTTTCCCTCCGAGGCTGGTTTCTCGCCTGGGAGCCAGGAAGAGCTCAGCTGACCAGCTCCCCGGCTCCCCGCACTACTGGTGAAAGTTATTAAAAACAGCCATTAAAGCCTCTGGAAACAGGCCTAAGGGCAAACGGCAAACGGAACATCTATTCGAGCAAAGCTACAGAAATTCATTTTAAAAGGCGAGAGAAATACCACCGCCCCAGCTCAGTGAGGAGACCCTGCTCCAGAACACAGGCCGCGTCCCCCAGCTCCCCAGGACAGTGCAGCTTAGAAGGGGGCCCTTCTTCTGCCCAGTCCCCAGACCTGCGGTGGATGGAGGCTCCGACTCACGCTGCTCTGAGAACACTGGGGTCCCCCGCCTCGCCTGGGGCCCTGGCTTGTGCTGGTGGTTTCACGCCAGGAGAGGCAACCCAGAGGACCTGAGCTGCTCTGACCCCCTCCCCCCAGTTAGCTCAGAGAATGGGGTTCACCAGAGAAGCCAGGCACTGTCCCCACCCCCAGTTCCACAACCCCTGGGGCAGAGGTTTTCCCCGGGGGAGGAGGAAGCAGGCTCCTAGAACAGTCATTTCTTGCCAAAGAAACTAAGTTCATTTGTAACTAAATACAGAGTTGTTCTACCCCAGGGTGTTCTCAACATTGGAGGTTGTCCTGAAGGAAATTGGGAGGAGAGTCATGGAGTTCGTTCCAGGATGACTGTGGGTGTACCCAAGCTGTGGGTCCCTGAGGGGCAGCATCGGGGGCTAATCCCGGTGTGCAGATGCGTGTGCGCATACGTGGGTGTGCATGTGTGTACGCGTACATGTATGTATCTGCACGTGTGTGCGCATGTGTATATGTGCGCGCACGTATCCATGTACGCGTGTGCGCGCACGTATCCATGTACGCGTGTGCGCGCACGTATCCATGTACGCGTGTGCGCGCACGTGTCCGTGTGCATGTGTCTGCATGTGTGCATGCACGCGAGTACATGTGTGTACGCGTGCATGCGTGTATCGTGTGTTGTGTTGTGTGCGTACATGTATCCGCGTGTACACGCGTGTAAGCATGTGCGCGTCTACGCACACATGTATCTGTGTGTGCGTCCATGTGCACATGTGTGTATGTGCACATGTATGTGTCTGTATACGTGTGTGCACGCACGGAGGGCAAGGACCCCTGCACTAGAACAGGTAACAGGAGCGAAGCCCAGAGGAAAGGTCCACGTGACCCTGCGTCTTTCCAGTAAGAAACCCTGGAGCGGGCGTGGAAACCGTAAATTACGGTCCCTGCCTCAGAAAAGAATCAGGAAACGGAAGCGACATTTGAGAGGACCAGATACCGGAGTTTGGAGAAGCACCATTGTGGAAATGTGCTCACAGACCAGAGGAAGATTGATGACGTAGAACTCGGGACGGCAGCCCATTGCACAGATGGGGATGAGCAATAAAGAGAACATGTTTAAAACGACCACTTGGAGCTCTTGGAGTTGAGACGTCACTGAGAACCAGTGAAGCCCCGGAGGAGCTCCGCAGCAGAGCCGAGCCGGTGAGTGGGACCAGAGGCCGATCCTGCAGAGAGGCGAGAGAGGGAGGCCCGCGGAGTCTGAGCGGATTGTGGGCATGTTTGTGAAGCACTGGGGCCAGGGGTGCCGGGAGAGGGAGAAGGAGAAACACGTTCGACGCAACGATGGCTGGAAACCCACCAGATCGCCCGGCGCACCGTCACCCGCACAGCCGGGAGCGCAGGGCAAATGTAGACTCTGGTGCGTGGTGGCAAGGAAGGGTCTGAGTGCCACTAGCCAGGCGGGAACAGCCCATGGCTGGAGAAGGGATGCGCCTGAGCAGAGACGGCACAGGCAGAATGCTGTGGGGCACGGACTCAGAACGTCAGAGAAAACGTCTAGCCAGAATCCCATCTCCAGCAAAGCCATTGTTCCCGCAGGAAGGTGAAGCGCTTTCCCAGAGAAACAAAATCTGAAGAACTGGTTTCCGGGGTAGCTGCCTTGCAAACAGCCCCAAGGAAGCTCTTTGTTAAAGCAGGGATCCCAGAATCTTCCTGACCTCGGATTTGGCAAAACATTCTTAGAGACGACACCAAAAACATGAGCAAACAAGATAAAATAGATAAGTTCAATCAAGATTTAAGACTTCTGTGCTTCAAAGGACACTGGAAGGTCTGAATTGTTTTTCTTCAAAATCATACATTCAAGCCCTAACCCGTGACCTCTCAGAAGAGGACTGTATTTGGACAGGGTCTTTAAAGAGGTGACGCAGGGACAATGAGGTCACACGGGTGGCCCTGGTCCAACAGGACTGGGGTGTCAGGACACAGACACACACAGGCATGAGGGCAAGGGCATCGATACGCCAGACAGAGGTCATGGGAGAAACCGACCCTCCCGACACCTTACCTCCCACGTGTGGTCTCCAGAACCTTGAGAAAATAAATTTCAATTTCAGGCCACACAGTCTGTGGCCCTTTG